ACTGAACTGCAAGAAGAGATATGGAAGGGACGTGATACCGGTTTTCTACAAAGTGGATCCATCAACTGTCAGGAAGCAGGAAGAAAGATACAAAGAAGCATTCGAAGAGCATGAACAGCTGTTTAAGGACGACATGGAGAAAGTGCAAGGATGGAAGGATGCTCTAACCGAAGCTGCTGGACTCTCCGGTTGGGATTCAAACGTTATCAGGTCATTATATTTCTTACGTCCACTTTTCAGATATTCAGAATCTCTTTTCATTTACTAAAATCTGTTGATCTCGTCATAGTTCAAGTGTTTCTTTTTTTTCGTTTCTCTTAATCGGTCATGCATTTGATCATATCACTTTGTTATAGTTTAACTTTGTACAAGTCTCTTTTGCAGTAACAAAAGTCATAAACAGTTACTGTAGAACTTTTGCGATCTTGATTTGCAATTTTTAAACCAACCAAGCTAATATATGAAAATATGTCTACTTTGAACATCTCTTCAATGATGTTCACTCTTCTGAATTTTTCTTTAGTTTAGTTTAGCTTTGTCTTTACTAAAACTTTATTTTTCAAATTATCTGTCAGGTCAGAAAACACACTTGTTGAAGGAATTGTGGAAGATATTATGAGAAAATTGAATCTTTATTCCATTAGTTATGATCCAGGAACTATCGGCATTGAAAAACATATTGAAAGCATTCAGTTATTGATGCATTTTGAGTCATCAGATATTCGGATCATAGGAATTTGGGGCATGGGAGGAATAGGAAAAACTACAATTTCTGAACAAATATATCACACATTTACAATGCAATTTGATTCCAGAAGCCTTGTTTTAGACACTCAAGAAAAAATAAAAAGAGATGGAATAGACGCTGTCAGAAAAAAATATATGCCCGAGCTTCTAAATGAAGTACCATCCCTCAAAGGAATGAGGATTCTCATCATTCTTGATGATGTTACTGATTCGGTTCAACTTAAACAATTGCTAGGAAGGTGTGATAGTTTTGGACAAGGCAGTAGA